GGAGTCTAGAATCAGTAACTTTTTCAATGCAACAAGGCCCTGAATTTCTAGATTATCTCTAGCTTTCTTCACTTCTACTTGCATACTGGTTCATATTTTTCTAAGCTCATCTCTTTCTTGTAATACCCACAGCAGCCTGTAACATTCAAAACACATTACTAATGTTGTATTTTCTCTAGAGGCACAGTAGAGCCTCAGGTTTCTTAGGGGTCTGATCTGCCTCCCTGTTACCACATTGTTGTACCGTTACAATTGTACCAAATACTTTGTTATACTATAACATGAATATTGATTGTTTACAGTCTCTACCATCCGTAAACCAACGTCACTTATTACCTTACTCTTGATACCAATTATTGTGTTAGAATAGGCTAGGATATGTATAACCCCAAATAATAATAGCTTCTAATCGAATATGAAGGTTCAGAGTCACTTAGGATCTAGGCTAATGGAAGCACCATTTTGTATTGGTACCATTTTCAGCTTGTGCTCTCCTCAGTTGCCATGGTTGGGAAAGAAGGGAGACTAGAGGATGATATATGTGGGGTTTCTATTTTATTGGCATATAAATGACCCATGTCACTTCTCTTAAGATTTCATTGGCTGGGACATGACTCATCCTAACTACAAGAAGCTTGGCAACTGTAGTGAAGTAGATGGAATGTTTGTGTTTGATGAGCACCACTATCTCTGTCACATAAAGAGTCCAGTTAAGACCATTACAAGATACTTGTTCTCCCACTTATTGACTATCTCGTTATGTGACATACCTTATTTACGACAATAGTAAAAAAAAAAAAAATCCAGCTATTTTGTGCATTAGCTACATACTTTTGGCAGTAACGAATGCCAAGTCCCTGATGGTTTCCCTGATGCCGGGCTTTGTGTGCAGGTAGAAAGGAGACTGATAGTGCATATTTCATGCCTGGCAAGGCAGAAGGGGCATGGTCTGCCTAAGCCACTGAGGTGTCAGGCAGAGTGGAGGAGGGGACTAGAATGTGTCTGGCGGTGGCAGGACGCTACCTGGTGGGTCCTGGGTACCCACAGGGAGCTGAGGCTGGGGCAGCAACAGCCAGTGTCCTGAAGGTGGGCTGCCTTTGTGACTGGGAAGGAAGTGGGATGCCAGGGTCTGGCCACAGCTTGCAGCCCTTAGGGGCAGGAGGGACAGACTGGGCCATTGTCAGAAGGAGCTCTGAGATGCGGCACTTAAATGCCTGGAGCCCGCAGGACCTCATGGCAGCTGACAGGCACTTATACAGCCCCTTACACTTCCATAATGCACTCTCTTGAGGGCAGGGCAGGCTACTTGGGCAAAGGTGAGGTCACTGGGTGAGTGGCCAGTGGCAGCTACAGTATAATATCAAAGGCAGAGGGCCTACCTGGCTGTCATTGTCCAGGAGGAAACTCTGGATTATTGATTCTCATTGGAACATGGGTGTGGAAGAGTCAGGACTGCCGAGCAAGATCCAGGGAATGGTCGGGTGAAAAGCTGGTGTGGGGGGCCCAGCAGGCAAGTGTGCATCCCCCACCCCATAACACCCAGGCCCTCCTGCCCACAGACCAGGAGTCCCTTGCCCCTATCAAAGCCGCCAAGGGCATTTGGGG